CACACATTGATTACATGGCTGCTGAGCTAAAACAAGAAACATGTGAGATCATCACTTAATCGTGGACGTGGACGGACTGTGTGTATCCTGCATTAAATCTGGGGTTTGGGTCCTGTTGACACATGGCGGAGCTTTTTTCAGGGTCAGAAAGGAGCAGGTGTAATCATCCATTCTTCCGTTATCCAACAGTACAAATACCCAGCCCCCCCCCCTTTACCCCGACACTAAAAGCCTGCAGACCCATTTCATTTCTTTCAAACAAAGCCTCTGAGTGGAAGGCAACATATTTTTAGCCCCGTGCCACTTTCTGTTTCCTGTCAACAGGTCTATCAAATTTTGCATTAGCTCAAACCCCGGATCAAGAGCGATGCACTTACATTTTGTAGTTGCTGTTTGTGTTTCTGTTCTGATGCTGAATGAGCCTCCAGAGAACATCGCACTGTAAAGTGTGTTTGTATTTAATGGTGCATGAACGAGAACTTCCTCTGTCGTCTGTTTTATAAAGATGATGTCCACTTAGTCACATCTGCTGCTTTCAATTCTTGTGTAATACAGCTTATCAGCAGTCTCTCATTAATTCCAGGTCAATTTTTTTAATTAATTTCTTGATTAAGTCTTTGATTATGTTGTGATGGTCCAGCTACTGACAAAGAAAAATCGTACCTGCCGACCCCTGATATAATATGATTATTGCATGATTCAGTTTGAATATTAATTACTATAACTGAACAGTTAATGCTGAAAGTTATGTTGGTATATGTTATTTTAAATCTTGTTCCATGTGTCCCTTTTATAACTTAGAATCAGAATCAGACTCAGAAATACTTTGATTAAATTCAAAGAGCATCTGCCTCTCTAAAGTTCTCTGCAGCAAAGTGTGCACAGATGTTTAAAATGGACAGATGTTTCAGCATTTTACTTCTGTTCATGCACCTGTGCTGAACAAAAAAAGTATTCTGGCTGGAACTGTTGCGTTCACACCAACCTTTTTTTTATGTTATCTATACATATAAATACATTTGATAATTTATTGCATATGTTAAAACAATATATCCAATAATGTGTTTTTATGCCTGTGTTAAAAGGATCTTACTTAAATACATTTGTCATGTCAAAATATAAAAATGCTCAATTACATTTCATTTTAATGTTGCAGCTCCACAAGCTGTATGCTTGTATCATATACTGTATATCAGATGTGTCATGTTTTATGAGCTGATCATATATTTTGCATGTGAAATCATGATCAACAAGGAAACTAGAAAACTAAGTGTGAAATAAATCGACTGGAAAAACTGAAATATTTCTGTAGTAAAGTAGAAGTACTAAGAGATAAAATGAAAGCCCTCAAGAAAAGTAAAAACTGTTGTATTAGTACAGTACTAATAAAATATTATAAAATAAAATAAGATAATCCCTTTTTTACATTGATTTAGTCTTGACTTGCGTATTTAGAAGCATCTGCACACATTCCAGAGAGATTTACAGCAAGTAAACTGAGCATCAATAAAGCTCCCCTTCAGATGATCATGTTATGTGTTACATGCAGCATTAACATGCTGCTTATGTCAATTAACTGATGAAATGATGTAAAGTGCAGAGGTTAAACTTACATTCCATGTACTGCTGCAGCTGGATAAAATCCACAGGAGTCAGAGAGCCCTCTGTGTCATCAGCAGAGGCCATGTTGATCAGCTGTGTGAGCAAAGACAAGAAAAAACAAAATGACTGGACAGTGAGGGAGGTGACAGGGATGAAAACATCCAGGGCAGGAGTACCAACCCTGAGAAAGGTTGGAAAGTATTCAATTTTATTAGGGCATGCTCTGTTCTGTCATTGACCCAGGTGAACTGGTTTGCTTCCATTCCTTCAACTGCACACAACAGTAGTAAGTCAGACACTCCCTGCTTCAAAGATACTGATCATCCACTTGATCTGGTGTCTGGGGTTCATCTAAATACTAAAGAATTACAAGCATCAGCAGTGAACATTTCACAATGGACCATTGTGAATATAGCAAGTGTTATGCAGATAGTTGATAAAAGCTTTAAAATCATGGGAATGGGGAAAGGTGTGCAACAAAATTGATCAACGTCAGGAACTGACCACAATAAACCCAGAGAGGAGCCACCAGTGACACTTTGATAGGTTGTATGCTGCAGAGCGCCAGTCTCTTAAGAACTATTAATAATAACATGATATTAATGATAAGTTACAAAGTGCTTAACAGAGAAAAATTTGAAATGAAAAGAATAGCACTCAAAACAATAGAAAAAAAATCTGTTCAGTTAAATGTCACCAGCAGAAAAACAGGAAAAGTCATTATTGGCTGTACAGATATTAATTGTAAACTTAACCGCAGCTCAACTCTCTGTTCTGTACTTTAATCAGCACCGTGCTGTTCCACTCAGCAAAGCACTTCAGAAATCAACAATTAAGATTAAAAGGGCACATCCATCAGACAGGATTATAACTGGAGGCCAGAGTCACTGACAGTAACAACTGTTTAGGTGCACAGGTGATCAGTCACTCACACATGAAGAGGAGGGAAGCTGAACCTTCAGGCTTCTTACCTGTTCTCTCTCTCTCTCTCTCTCTCTCTCTCTCTCTCTCTCTCCTCACACTTCAGCAGAGGTCAATAAAAATGGTCCCACACACGGAGCTCCGTCCCACAGAACTTTGGTATGTTGTCTGACAGCAGCTGGCACTTGTGAGTACATGTGTGCGCTGCGGTATTAGCGGATGTAAGGGATTAAGAATGAGAAGAGGTGGAGCTCTGAGCCATAATCACTGAGCCCGCCTCTCGCTCGCACGCACACAAACACACACGCACGTGCACGCGCACACACACACAGGTTTGCACAGAGACTTTGCATTCATTGTGGACAGTCTAACCAAAACCTCATCCCTCATGACAAATTCATGGCTAACCCTGACCTTAACCTTTGGCTTTGGTCTACTTGTCCTGACAAGATAACATAAACAAGTACAAAAAATACACACACACACACACACACACACACACACACACACACATACACACACACACACCCTCATCTATTGTACCCTTCCAACGAGTCAACGCATTTTCTAAATACTGAGGCTTAAAGTCTGAAAATCAGAATGAGGTCTGCAGCTCTCTGGTCTCCAGCTTTAACAGAGTGAATGAGCCAATCTGACTGAATGAAACAGACCATTGAATTGATTCTGCACATCAGCTCAACAGACTGGGCCTAACAATTTAAGAAAAACTAAAATTGTCTTTCAATTGAATTGAGTAAAGGCCTCTTCACCTAACCATGACATATGACTGACAAACTAATATAGGCTAAACATTGGACATAAAAAGAAACAGTGGGCTCTTCTTTGGTTTGAAATGGAGGCTGAGGTCAAAGAGCAAGAGTGGTTGGCAGGTCCAAAGTTTATACTGTGTCTGTGGCTTTTTTCCAGATCAATGTGCTTTGACTTTTCTGAGTGTGAAAAAAATGGCTGTTTTTCAGCATCTTTCTGTGCTAAAACTGCTCTCAAAGCCACAGATGGAGGTTGTCAGACATGGTTTTTACATCAAAATAAAATAGAGTTTGTTTACTTTGCAGACATGTCACTATGACATCTTTCGGACCTATACTTTTGGCTGTATCATTTTTTTGAAAAAAGTTTTCCGGTTTCACCTCTCCATTGGATGCCATGTTAATTTTGAAAAAAAAGGTCAGAGGACAACAACAGTCAAAAACTCCCACAGTCACATTTCTTAACTCTAACCAATATATATATGTGTACATTCGGCAAAGTCTTGGAATTGTCACAGTGTTTTTATTTCACAGATAGGACTTATAGTTTATGAGTTAGAAGCATTTGTTTGAAGGGGCAGAGCTTCATCTCTCTGAGCTGGGAGATAACAAGTGCAGCAATCAAGTCAGTGAGTATCCATAGCAACGACATACACACACAGAGGAGAGGCTCCTCTTCATATTTACTGATTAGGTCCAGTGGTGACATCACTTCCCCTGTGACACAACGCCAACACTGAGTGAGTAACAGGATGTTATCAAGAAACCTGTAAAGAGCCTAGATTTTCAAAATAAAAATAAACACTCCCCCATAGTTAGAGGATGTTATCAGGAAACCTGTAAAGAGCCTGGATTTTCAAAATACCCCCCTGATAGTAACAGAATTTTACCTTGAAACCCGAAAGGAGCCTGGATTTTCAAAATAAAAACATACAGATAGCTCACTGACCTTAAAAGGAAGCCTGAAGGAGGCTGGATTTTCAAATTAAAAGTCCTGGATGGTCATAAGACCTTACCAGGAAGGCTGAAGGATGCTGGATTTTCAAAATCAAACCCCAAGATGGTTACAGGATGTTCCAGAGAGCCTGAAAAAGACTGTATTTTCAAAATAAACCCCCCAAATAATTACAGAATGTTTCCAGGAATTGTGAAACATGCTGGATTAAATAAATTCCCATTATTGGTGATAAGACACTACAACCTTACAACATGGTTTCCCTGTCTCTGAAATTGGTACAGTCTCTCTGTCACCAACCTGGATCATGTTATCAAAATGCAGCTTTTATAAATGTCTTTCTCTATCACTGTCTATCTCTCTCTCTCTCTCCCTCAGGGTCAATCTCCTTCCTCTTAAACTCGTACAGTGTCTCTGTCTCTCTGAAATGGGTCCAGTCTCTCTGTCACCAACCTGGATCTCATGTGATCAAAATGTGATTATCTGTGGAGCTGGCAGCAAGCACAAGGCACCCATTCAAAATTTCTCTGGGAGGAATTTTCTAGTTATGATTGTTAATGTATTGCATTTATTGTGGCATCTATGTTTACATACAGCATTTGTAACATTATATTTCAGATGTGTATTGTCCAAAAATCAAGTTTATCTATTAAATGTACTTGAATATCATAAATAGCATAGACTCCTACAAACAACACTCTATCTTATAAATGTGAACAGCGCACTGTGTGACCACTGTCGGTAGATGGCGGTAATCCACCTCAGCGACAGAAGACAGCCGCAGTCACGTAGTAGAAGAAGACGCTGTTGACGCAGGTGTTGATGTCCTCCTTCTTCCGCAGCTTTGTGGAGCGGAGTCGCTTTCACCAATCTGACGCTAAATTCAGACTTCAGGGAGAAACCCGCGGCCATGCTTCTTACTTTGAACTGAAGTGTCAGTGATGGTTAGCGGATGAATGTGTTTCAGGTCGTTTGACGTCCGCTGTAGACGCTGTTTCGCGAGTTTTCTCCATCACTCATTGCAGGCAAAGCTAAAGCTAAAGCTAGCTGTGTGTTAGCAGCGGCTCTCGGCAGCTGTGGACATACATTTAATAAACCATCCCCTGGTCCGCCCTTTGTGCAGAATTAGATTTCAGACAAGGCAGTCATGGCCACTCGGCGTCTGACCGATGCCTTCTTGTTAATGCGGAACAATGCAATCCAAAACCGGCAAATATTGGCTGAGCAAGTGAGTACATACGACCCCCGTCTGAGTACACGTAGCAATGCTGCGGTGAGTGGTCTGCATCGTTTTGACATTTTACTGTGTGTGTTTGCATGTAGCCAGTCGCAGGTAGCTGGTAGCTAGGAGCAGCTGTGTGTGCCTGTAGCTGCTAGTTAGTCTCAGAGAGGTTTTATTCCTCAGGACTGATGGAGGAGGAGGGCGTGCAGCCATGTTCTCATAGTCAATGTCTTTATCACATGTAAACAAGCTGAGTCAAACTAGTTCAGTTTTAGTCGGCATCGCTATAATTTATTAGAAAAAAAGAATAGTAATTAGGATAGAGGAAGAAGTAGACATTGTATGTGTCATTTTGGTGGGGTTCTGCTAAAGTAAAGCATGTTTTTATATTTATATTCTGCTCCTCACTATCACAAATCAAGTGTTTTGTGGTCTAGTCTAGTGTGTGTTGACCTGTGTTAGATTGTTCCACTTGAATAGAAGTGGACTATACAGATAATGTATCATTATGTATGCAATTGCCTTTTGTGATATTGATATTTATGGTCATATAGTGTTTCTGACAAACTGTTTAAATCGTTTATAGATAATATTCTCACACGGCTTTTTGTTACATTAATGCAGTAAACATAAAGTATATGAATCTAGTATTTTCACTTCCATTCCTGCTTTCTGACTTGCAGCACAGTGGTTTGACTTTCTCAAATTCTTAAGCGGTGATGGGAAAGCCTCCCAGATCCATCATTATCTTAGATATAGATAGATAGAGTACTTTATTCATCCCCGGAGGGAAATTAAGGATTAGTTAGTAGGTAAAGACCTAGAAACAAATTAGATCAAGGCTTTTGCTATTGCTGTATCCATCAGGACAGATGTTAGTACCCGGTGTGTACGGGGCCTTTCAAACAAACCAGGTTACCCTGCCCACAGACAGTACAGAGAGAGACATTGTGTTATGAATAGTGTCAAAATCTCTTTTGCCTTAGAGGTCATCTCCATTTTTTGTCATACTGCCCCAACCCTTTACTAGAATTCAGCTAGTCAACTTATGTAATTCTATAAATATGTGACAGACATCAAGGCTACGAAAATGGAAAAAGGCTGAATTAGAAACTGCTTTGTCTCAGACTTATCTCTCTAATGGCGCCTTTGTCACCTTATTCAACATGATATTCCGATTTATTTCTGTTAGCACCTACCTACTTACCCAGTATAAAGCAAAACCCAATGCCACTCTACTTAGTAAAACTACCAAACACAAGTAAGCCAGCACAGCTCCTGAATGGCTCCTTTGTAACAGCTTTTGCAGCTCTCTCTACCAGAAGTGTTTGCATTAGAGTTCACCTGCACTGTTCAGCTGTGTGTGTTTGTCTGTGAGCATTCACACTCAGCTGTGAACTGTTACTCTAAGAGGCATGAATGTGGTGGTGTATCCCATCAGCTGATGTGTGTATACACATATAAATAT